AAAACAAACATAGTGTAGTAATAGAATTTCAACTAGAATAGGGTACGTTAATCGTTTGCTTGGGACCAATAGGCTACTAAAGTGGTGAGCCAATTTAAAATCGTTAGTTTCGTATTGATTGTTGATCCAACTCTCGTGATAATTCCGCGAACCAAGAAAACACTCAAAGTTCACTTAAGACAAACTCCCACTTTATTAGTTTTGATGACACCCACTTCACGGACGGTCTCCCACTTCCTTAGATGTCTACTCCTACCTTGTGCTAGCACTACTCTTCTTTTGTCTTCGGGGCTCCTTCACCTGCCACTGCCGTCGTCGTCATTCCTCTTCTTCCTCTGGTACCGCATCACCTTCTTGGGCCAGGGGTGGACGCCTCTACCTGTCCCGTACGCCCCTCGAGTATGGTGACGGACTCGAGGTTTCAACGAACCACAAGGGTAAGTTGACTTGCCTGGATTGGTGGCACACACTGTAGCTGAGGGATCAGATTCTCGAACTGCGATTCGGACACACTACCGGCGATTGGCGTGGTCGACTCCGGAAAAATACGTTGAGTTCACAAATGATACGGTAAAATCAAAGATGAATATTAAGATGAAACTGTCGGAAGAAAAACTTTCTATTTTAGTGTCTTCTTTTACGGTCCCTTTCATCCAAGGAGAACCCCCCGTATTCAAGGTAATTTTGTGGTTTTGCTGCCCCCTCGGAAGAGATGAAATTTTGCGCTCATTTTTACCAAAACAATCACACCAAAATCAGAGATGACCCATTTTTTAATTACTCGATTGACAACTGATCGATTATTTTTTTGTTCGCTGTGCTGCCATTTTTCCACTTCCACCAATGAGAGTGCAGCACATGTTTGAAACGATGGGTGATGATCCTGTGGAGATGTTAATGCTTATATCGGCATGATCTAACCGATTATAAATAGTTTACTTTTCGATTCGTTAATCGATTAAACGATTATTCGAATGAAAATCGGACATCACTAGATGAATGTGAAACGTCATTTCAAATATAAAGCCGTTCATAAATAATGATACAATTTGAAAGGGACCGGGGCTAATCACAAATTACGTCTCCATGGTAACTGAAATAAACACGAGTGTTCACCGGTTGGTAAAATCGCGAGGTCCTGTGGGCGCGAAGGAGAATTCGAAATGGCGGTTATCGACCTGATCTCACTAGACAACGGTTGGATCTGGTTCGGGGTTTTCTTGGTGATGGTAATTACCTGGCTGTCCAATGATACGTGGCAACTTCCTCTACAACTTCTTCATACTTCCAACTTAGCTCACTTTAGCACTTTAGCTTTAGTTTTCACCTTCAAACTATTAATTTTTAGCTTTGACTTTCGCTATGTGAACGTAGTCTATAATGATCACCAGGCTTATGACTGTGCCTCATGGTGGACGATGACCCCGAACCGTGACCGTTGAACCGTCGTACGTGCCACAAATTCTCCACGCAATGGCCCCGATTACGCCACCCCTATGGACGTCCATTCATGACTGCACACAGCGTGGTGGTGGCTAGTGGCATTGTTCTACAGTTTATAGGGAAGTGTCTCCTACTGGCTGCGTTCGTGGGGATTCTGGGACGTTTTACCTTTTACGAACATTTACTACACGCGATTAATCTCATCAATCTTGGACGCAACACTTACACTTGTTACATATGTTTCACCAAATATGCGAATGGCGTTGACGGCACCATCGAAAAATTTGCTCTTCCAGCAAATATAGACAGTTTCTTATGGGAATTTTCGGTGGAGTGAAAGGATAGTACGAAGTCCGCCATGTTTCACGCACAGTCTGACGTTTACTTATGGATTTTCTCATAGAAGTAAAGAGCTACAGAGTCGCCGTCAACGCCAATTTACTGTCTGGCAGAATTCCCGAAGACATTTTTGTGCAGTTGGCTTTCCCATCCGAGATCCATACGCCAACTGTCAGATTGTTCCCTTGCATTTTTGTAGGTTTGTCAATGCACACTTTCCCGTGGCATCTGGCTTCTGGATGAAATATTCGTTCCCCTCTAATGCTTTTGTTTAAACTGCAAAATAGTCGTTGAATAACTGTTGAGCTCCCTCCTCCGCAACCCTGTTTATGTTTGGTCGTTTTCGAGGACGAGATCCTCTAAGTTTTTCCTCTGATTCTGCTGCTGCCGTTGAAAATGCATGAAACATTACTTGCTGGACGAATACAAGTTCGTCGAATTTATCGTGACTCGACTCCACAAACATTTCAGAATTATCCACTGCAATCAAATTTACTACACTTGTTTTTTACGCAATTCCGACTGCAAATACCTGTTTTTATCGTTTGTTCTTACTACGATGCGAAGTAACTAGAATGACAACCCCCGGTGTGGAAATAGAGACATACTTGTACTGATGTCGGTATGTTCTTCAGCTCTTTCGTGGCCTTGGCGGTCAGCTGCTCCTCCGATTTGGCCACGAAATTATTGGAATAGATCCTTTGAGGTTCACCCGAAAATTTTCTATCGGTCGCAGCTGGAGCAACAATCAATACGAAACTAACGATTTTAAATTGGCTCACCGCTTTAGTAGCTTATTGGTCCCAAGCAAACGATTAACGTACCCTATTCTAGTTGAAATTCTATTACTACACTATGTTTGTTTTGATTCGCTATGAAAGTTTGACAGATAACATCAGGGGTGTGTGGATTCATGCAGAACATGCAAGGGTGAGTGAAATAGCTTGGGACTGCTTGGGACCGTTGTTCTGGTACTGAGTGAGCCAAAAATAATAATGATTTTCTTCGGGACCCAGTGGTCTTAGAGTTACCTCTATGATGAAGCCACCTTGCCTTCGGTCTTCCTCTTCAGCTTCTGTTGCACTTTACGGTCGCGCAGTAGCACCAACAATCAATACGAAACTATCGATTTGAAATTGGCTCACTTCTTGACTAGCCTATTGGTCCCAAGCAAATCGATTAACGTACCTCATTCTAGTTGAAATTCTAGTACTAAACTATGTTTGTTTTGATTCTCTAGGAAAGTTTGACAGATAAAATGAAGGGTTCGTGGATTTTCCTATGTTTCGAGGGGTGCATTGATTAGCTTGGCACCGAAGAGAGTACCAGAGCTGAACCAAAGTGTTTTCTGGTGTATCTTAGGGTATAGATTATGAATATGAAGAAAAGTGATAATTGACCATGGTGGCGTTTACGTCACTTTGTCATCTCACGGCAGTAAGGGCCTTGTACCGGTTATGACTGACCTGGTACATTATTTGATCTGAGATCAAGGACAATTTGGTGAACCTTGAGCATCATATATACATCAAACTGATCATGAGCGATGTACAGAACCTCTTTGAACATGTTTGAGCAAGTTTCGACGCTGAGGACATTGTGCAGGCCTTGGTTATCAAATGTTCTAAACTACAGAATGCTTTGGATGACCTAGAACGTCACTTAAGCTTCTTATATACATCCAAATAGATAAAAAACGATGCGCAGTAACTCCTTGAACATTTTTGGGCAGGTTTCGCCGCTGAGGTATTTTGCAGGACATTATCAAAAAGTGATTACCGGGTCATAGAACTTGTTATCAATTTGATATTTTACTTTGCTCGGGATTATGATTACATAGATCACTACGGAATAGTTTCAAAATTGATCATACAATTCCGGAGATACGGCCGGAACAAGTTCTTAGTGTCTCAGGGAAAATAACCAGCTTATGAGTAAGTTCAAAACCCATCATGCGACACAATAAATTACATCAGAATTCGAAAACAAGTTCAATAACAATAATATCTAAAACCCTGAACCAGATTTGCTGAATCCGGATATGTTCCGGGTTGCACCAGTGGCCAGATTTGACTTTTTTAAAATCAATCATGTGCCACATCAAATGACGTGAAAATTTTTAAATAAAATCATTGGTAGTCATATTGAGTGTAAATAGGGTCAGACCATAGGTGAATAAATTGGGATTTTTCCTATACATATAAGTAACCAAAAGTTCTGATAAAAGGCTATTTATGGCTTAAGCACCTTTGTTGAAGGTGGTGTATAGAATTCTAAGCAGCCTCATTTTTAAGTCGTTATAAGAACTTGAAAGTTCCGGTACCATAATTGAAGAGCATTCTAAGCAGCCTCTGGCGGAACTTGGCAACAACAATTCAATTTGCGTCTCTCGGATATTCTCGTACGATACCACGTGATTCAGAAATTATTCCAACAACCTATAGGCCTATAGGTTCTAGGTCTTCAAACACATCTCTGGTTTTTTTTTCGAAGGCTTCCAGGTTCAGTGGCGTTCGTGCGTTCCCAGCTCATTGGTGGTGCCACAGCTCTGGTAGTAAGTAGCCACTCGACTCCATACCTTTTGTGCCGTCCAGCAAGGTTCCTGCAGTGCAACGAATTCGAAGTTGCGTGGTTGATGTTCGTCATAGATTAACCTATCGCAACCTGGGAAGCCGTGCGAGTTGCAGTTCCATGTTCCGAGTTTACTATCGTAATCCTTATATCGTCGCGTAGGCCTGTGCCTCTTGTTCCGAGCCGTATTTCTTTCTTGGATATTTGCAGCTTTATAATTTTTCAACGGTGGCTTGTTGGGCCTGCCAACACCCAGTGGGAGCTGAATTTATATTAGGCCCGAAATACTATTTATTTGAGTAATTTTGCTCAACTTTCAAAAATGTAACATCAAGCATTGTGCAACCACAAGTTCGCAACTCTATTTAAAATATAAAATGAACAACCATCCAGCGCAGATTTTGTTCAACCTCTTTGAATGAAAGTGAACACGATTTTCCATAAAGTGTCTTTCGCACGCTTATTCTACGATTGTCAAGGAGAAGAGCATGCGATGAGTATCAAACCTATGGAATTACTACAAGATGAGTAGTAGCAGACTGCGTAAATAATGATGCCAGGAGTTTCGAATTGAAACAAATCTACACGATTAGATTTGCAATCAAGCAAACATATTATTGCAAATAAATTTAACTTTTCTAAATGTTCCGGAAAATATACCTTACCAAAACCTTAGGACTTTCATTTGTGCTTCCTCTTACTGTCGTGCATTTTCGCGGCCTTCTTCTTCATCATCTGCAGCCGTTTGTCCGCGCTAATGATGTTAATATTCGGTGTCCCAGCTCCTGCGCTAGTTGACGAAGATGACCCCCCTGCGGTGGATGACGATCCCGAGCCACCACTGCTACTGCTTTTTGAGGATTTTTCCTTATCTTTCTCCCGATCACGATCGGATCGCTCTCGGTCTCGGTCTCGATCACGATCTCGATCCCGTTCCCTATCTCTGTCTCGATCGTGAGAAGACCCTTCCTTGCTGCTACTGGATTTTGAACTCTTGTGCTTCGACGACGAAGAAGACGAGGATGATTCGTAGTTCTTGCTGCTGCTCGATGATTTTGAGTGAGACGAAGATGAGGAAACTTTCGCCGGAGAACCGACAGCTGGCGTCGAAGACGACGAAGATTTGCTAGCAGATTTTCCCTTGCACAATGTGCAGAACCATGCATTTTCCTGATCGTTTGCATCCGCTTCGGAAATAACCGGTTTGTGACATTCTTGGTGATACAGCGAGTGACAATCAGCGCACTCGACTAGCCGGTTTCTGGCACTCACATCCATCCGTTTGCAAACGATGCACATAAGATCTTCGAGCTCTTTCAGCTGGTCTTCTTCCATCACCACATCGTCATCCTCGTCGTTTCCTTCGACGTCCGATATAGATAGGATGATTGATCCGGCTGGTGCTGGAACGGTCAACGATTCCGGCGTTGGAACAGCACTTTCCACTGCCGGTTCACTTTTGGCAGGAGATTGTTGTTTGGAATCGAGTTGTGCTGTCGAAGCAGCAGGCACAATAGCTACTACCGGAGCCGGTTTCTGTTTCCGGACATAGAGATTACTCCCGGTAGCTGTGCTTTCTTCCGCTAGATGTTTCTTGCTAAGTGTGCTATTGAGTGTTTTGTTTCCACCATAGCGCTGCTTGATCAGTTCGTCCAGCAAGTTGCGGATCTTTTCGGCTGAGTCCGAGTTACCCGAATGGAGCAACTTAAGGGCATGCTTGAAGGTAGGATCGATATCGATGGCAGAGGACATCATTTGATCGGAGGGTTTCAAATGTTTAGCTGCAAAATATGGAAGAATGTAGGTATGAGTAATCAATCAAAAATAACAGATTATGGTCAATTATTTTTAATAGTTTATTAAATCAATCGTCAACTCATAATTATACGATAGGGGAAATGGATGTAATGTCGGCCTAAATGCTCCTAATTTGGGCACATACATAAATTCAGCAATCGACAAAATATCCATTAGTTCCTTCCCAATGACGCGTTCATCTAGATAAAATTGATAAATAGCAGATTTTTAGCGATGGGCCCAATCTTAGATTCATAGGCCAACATTAGACCCATTTCCGCTATGTGTACAGATCGTATTGCAAAACAATCATGAGATGTATATATAGAGGAAATGTCTCTAATGTTGGCATATGGCTCTAAGATTGGGCCCATCGCTTAAAATCTGCTATTTATCAATTTATCTAGATGAACGCGTTATTGGGACGTTACTAATGTATATTTTTGGTTGCTATTGAAAATTTAGTCGATTGCTGAATTTATGTATGGGCCCAAATTAGGGACACTTAGGCCGACATTATCTGCATTTCCCCTATGTACAGTATGAGACTATTTTACAAGTACAAAATAAATGTCAGAACAGTTTGCATCGATTTAGCACAGATAAAGTTAAATTTTATATGTTGAATTCAACAAGGACGTTAGTACTGCAAGAGTGAATGAAGAACCTGCCGAAATATAAAAAAGAAGCCAGATGTCTTGTCTTGTCTTATCTGTACCGCTACGTACACATCAGTAGACCGAACTAAAACATCTCTTCAATTTTATATTCTTCCATGAATTTTACGTAAAACACGCTAGTTATAAAGCTAAACAGCATACTTTCTAACTATAAAAACATTTCGAATGGAAACTTACCGTATTCCACAAGAAAACTTCATTAATTTTGTTTTATCACTATCCAAAAAAACACTATTGACGAGTGCACGGATGGATTTTAGTTCACTCACTCGACAAAAAGTGACACAACAGCGGGGCCCTGTTTACTAAAAATGAACACATATGTGTTCATTTTTAGTAAACAGGGCCCCGCTGTTGTGTCACTTTTTGTCGAGTGAGTGAACTCAAATCCATCCGTGCACTCGTCAATTAGGTTCTGCAGCGTGACGTCACAAATGAACTCAGTGTTAATAGGCTGAACCTTTTTGACAGTTCAGTGGTACTGTTTACAAGCACTTAGTCGTTTTTTCGAAAAAACAAATTCTAAAGTTTCTGAATTTTAACTTGAAAATTGTCGAGGAACAGCGCGTTGCAAGGATGTTGCTCGTGAACATTGCAGAAATGCTGTTTACATCTCACTGCAGTCTGAAAAATTATCGAGAAAATCCACCCAAGAAAAAATCGACTAAGTCCACGTAAACAGTACCACTGAACTGTCATCAGATTGAGGTTAACCCCGACGGTGCAAAACCTAATAATGCCTGTCCAAGAGGAATGTAAATAAAAGTAATGTTGTTATTTGAGTTTGACGTTTCTCATCCCCGCCGACGCAAGCGATGCGAGAGCTTTCAACCGTTTCAACCAGCAAATCGCCTATGTCGGTATAGTAGACTCGCGATGCAAAAGCTTCTGGAGTCCTTTTTGAATATGTCCTATGTCCGTTTTGTGTATCAAAAAATCGTTTAACTTGAACGACTTGAACGCAGATAAATTGGAGATTAGGAAATCGCTGTAAAAGATCTAAACAGATGTCGCCAATTCATGAAATTTCACATCTAAACTTAATTTTCATCAAACGTACAACACATCCTTCCGCGCTACTTCGTCGTAATCTCTCATTTCCGTTCAATCAATCAGAAAAGATCAATAATAGCAATGATTTCACTAGAGTCGGTGTATAATGAGTCACGCCAAGAGTGAAGCCAAGTCTACCTATTGAACTGTCAAACCGGCTACCTATCGTGCAAAGTAAACAAACATTACGATGCTATGAAAGGTATTGCAATAAAATATAAAATAAAATTGAAGAAATGATCATAAACACGCAGTGAGCATTAAATTGTCATGGGATACGTTTGCTAATAATCAGTAATGAGAATTTCTACTATTGTTTGATAAGATAATTTGACAAAATCACTGATATAATGATTCACTACAGCCGCATTTTTTTTGTTCTAGCTAGAAGTCATTTGAAGTTGATGTAGAAGTCCTCTGTTGCCAAGTGAAAAGAAAGGGAATCCTTCGAAAACCGTGATGCGAGTTCAACTTTTTTTCTCTTGGCGTGACTCATTATACACCGACTCTAGATTTCACCCTGCATAAATCAATAATAGGTTTGTTCCGAAGCGTTAGCTCAGTAGCTACAACATAAATCCTATTAGAGCGCATTGTATGTCATTATTCTCAAATCAAAAGAAGCGTTCTTAGCGAATCAAAACTAGTAGCCTCCCGAAAAAAAATAACAACAAAAATACAATAAAAAACATTGTAACAATAAGACGAAAATTATTGTCTTACCAATGATTTATATTGTTACGTCTACAATAAATTTAGCTTGATTTATGTTGTACAAAACAGCAAATTTCATGGTAAATGGAAAATTTACAATAAAAAAGGGGGGTTGTTAAGTATCTTAACAATGAAATTTTCGTGATTTTCCCATATAATTTTTTTTTTCAATAACATTATATATTATTGTTATTTTACTGTTGGTTGGCGAATTTATTGATTAAAAAAAATAACAGTGTACTTTAGAGCACAAACGAAGTGACAGACGGAGCGGCTCGCAAACTTTGGTGACTAACCTGCTATTGCAATTTTTCAGTGTACCACATGGCAACACCACTCCTACTGGATTGAACCACATGGCAACACTACTACCATAGAGGTAACTCTAAGACCACTGGGTCCCGAAGAAAATCATTATTATTTTTGGCTCACTCAGTACCAGAACAACGGTCCCAAGCAGTCCCAAGCTATTTCACTCACCCCTGCATGTTCTGCATGAATCCACACACCCCTGATGTTATCTGTCAAACTTTCATAGCGAATCAAAACAAACATAGTGTAGTAATAGAATTTCAACTAGAATAGGGTACGTTAATCGTTTGCTTGGGACCAATAGGCTACTAAAGTGGTGAGCCAATTTAAAATCGTTAGTTTCGTATTGATTGTTGCTACTACTGGATTGAACTAGCATTTTCACCAAATGTACTAGAATGTTTTGGTTCTATCTCTTTCACTCTACTCAAAACTGAAATGCATAAAAAAAATGACAAAATGATACGCACTCTTTGCACACTGTTAAAGAATCATTGTACACAAAATCAACTTTGTTCAAATCAAAACAAAAAAAACTAACCCATCTGGTGGATGATGGCACAAGCTTCCAAGAAAATTCTATTACAGTGAACCACCTTATTTAAATGGATTTCTTCGCCAGTTAGTCGTCTGTCACTTCGTTTGTGCACTTATCAACGACGCTCAACCACCAAGGAGACGTGACCTAGGGATATCGAGCGTAGGGGAGGTGGCCTGTATTTCTCACAAGTTCCGGATCGAATCTCGATCCATAACCAGTAAAAAAAAAGGACCACCCGTAACAGACATACCACACCCTTCCCTTCCCGGGGCAATGTTTTATTTTTTAGATTTATTTTTAAAGTCGATAAAGTAGATCTGTCAAGCCAACACATACACTCTAAAGCACAAACCACAAACGAAGTGACAGACGGAGCGGCTCGAAAACTTTGGTGACTAACCTGCTATTGCAATTTTTCAGTGTACCACATGGCAACACCACTACTACTGGATTGTACCACATGGCAACACTACTACTAGATTGAACTAGCATTTTCACCAAATGTACTAGAATGTTTTGGTTCTATCTCTTTCACTCTACTCAAAACTGAAATGCATAAAAAAATGACAAAATGATACGCACTTTTTGCACACTGTCAAAGAATCATTGTACACAAAATCAACTTTGTTCAAATCTAAACAAAAAAACTAACCCATCTGGTGGATGATGGCACAAGCTTCCAAGAAAATTCTATTACAGTGAACCACATTATTTTAATGGATTTCTTCGCCAGTTAGTCGTCTGTCACTTCGTTTGTGGTACAACATTATAACAATAATTTTTATTGTCGACAATAAATATTAATGTTAGAGCATTGTTTTCACTGAAAATTTCACTGTAATTTTTTTTTCGGGAGGTTAGTCACCAAAGTTTTCGAGCCGCTCCGTCTGTCACTTCGTTTGTGCCAGAAGTGTCTGTGAAATACATTTTAACAGAATACAGTGTGAGTAGTGAATCAAGGTGAAGTGGAAATCACCAATTCAGCTGATTCAGGACCTTTCTTTTCAACCAATCAAATCGTTTTACTGGTTGGCGAGTCAAAGACCGCCATTGCACACTACGGTCTAGGTGACATTTAGTTACCTTGACCTAACCGTAAAGGACATCGTCCTCGGGCTGAAGGAGAATTTCCCTTCCCGGTTCGACAGAGGGTGGCCTTGCCGTCGTCGACCGGCTTCGTCAGAAGGAAGCGCCTGTGCATCGGAGCCATCTCCACAAACCGCTATACCAGCCCCGGTAAAACCAACCCGCCATCGCACTACAGCCGACGTTCAGTCAGCCTCGCTTCGTCCGCCATTGTCGGAATTGTACCAGAATTTCACTGAGCGGTGGTACCGTCATCTTGCCGACAAGATCGGCCTTTAAGGATCTTTCCGGAACCACAGCGAGCGCTCGCTGGTCTGCAGTCGTCGTAGTCGCCATCGGGTATCCCAACAAACAATTTTAGCTGCAGCTCAGCTTATACAGGCAAAAACTAGCTGCATAAGGTAATCTTTGACTGTATAAGCTAGTCTGCAGCTAAAATTGTTCGTTGGGTATGTGCTAAGAAAATCGAACACAACACCACACAATCCACACTATCGGTAATTGGAGAAATACAGTGTTTAAATTGATCCGCGTTGTGTTTCAGTTTAATTGAAAGCTTGAGTGCCTTTTCATCCGCGTAGCCCCTCCAGTTTGCCCAGTAGTGCGCCGACTCTGAGACACAGTTCAAGGAGTCTCGTGTTGCTGAGTTGTTGTCGGGCAGAACAGTAGTTTCAATTGGCTCCCAGCCAAAATCGCGAAAGGCAAACGGAGGATCGTGTAGTATAAAAAATTGCTTGAATTTTTTGACACGAGCGGGAGGAGAGAACACATTCAGTTTTACACTGATTGTGTTGGATCCGCACAGTATTTCTTCGCCAACATAAAACAGCAATTTGATTTTGAGAAGGTGGAAGGTAGTGACCAGATGATTTGGTTTCGGTGTGCTAAAATTAAAGATCAAACTGAAAAATTGGTTAAAGTTTGATAAAATCGCAAATTCATAATCATTAAAATCAAACAGCAACAAAAAGTTGATAAAGTATTTGAAAAGGTCCTGAATGAGCATATACACCATAACATTAAAAACACCATACACAAAACAATTAACACTATTTATTTGAACTCGTATTTCCTTATTTTGAATTTTAGTATTAGTATTTCTTAGGCTATGTGAATTGAATTTTTTATTTTGTATATATTGTGCTACTTTTTATCAAGGTTGCAAATACTCATTTCAGCTAAATAATGTTTTTCGGAATAATAAAACCAAAAGATGGTATGATGGCATGTTTTGCTTGTAACTTACAAGAAGAGGTTACAAAGTATGCGTTTGAAACATAAAACCTGTAAATTTTGCTTTCTATGAGTCACAATCAGCGATTTTCTGATCGCTGAGTGAGTGAGTGAGTGAGTGAGTGAGTGAGTGAGTGAGTGAGTTTGTGAAAAATCGCTGATTGTGACTCTCATGAAGTGAAATAAACAGGTTTAATATTTCAAACACATTCTTTGCAACTTCTTCTAGTATCCTACCAATTCAAAATTTGATCATGGCATCTAATTATTTCATAATTT